TGGAACATCAAAAATAATATGTAACAAATATCAAACAGTATTGTCAATACACAAACTCAACACATTTCAAGTGCACACACCCCACTTGACGTGTGGCCCAGGTTTGAACCACATCTATGAAGGTACTGGACAAAAATAACACCCCAGGAGGCCAAATCACTCCTGGAACATCAAAAATAATATGTAACAAATATCAAACAGTATTGTCAATACACAAACTCAACACATTTCAAGTGCACACACCCCACTTGACGTGTGGCCCAGGTTTGAACCACATCTATGAAGGTACTGGACAAAAATAACACCCCAGGAGGCCAAATCACTCCTGGAACATCAAAAATAATATGTAACAAATATCAAACAGTATTGTCAATACACAAACTCAACACATTTCAAGTGCACACACCCCACTTGACGTGTGGCCCAGGTTTGAACCACATCTATGAAGGTACTGGACAAAAATAACACCCCAGGAGGCCAAATCACTCCTGGAACATCAAAAATAATATGTAACAAATATCAAACAGTATTGTCAATACACAAACTCAACACATTTCAAGTGCACACACCCCACTTGACGTGTGGCCCAGGTTTGAACCAACATCTATGAAGGTACTGGACAAAAATAACACCCCAGGAGGCCAAATCACTCCTGGAACATCAAAAATAATATGTACAAAATATAAAACTGAATTTTGAAGTGAAGGGGGGGGCCAGCCTCACGCTAGTAGTGTTTACCCTATTGGTGCAGCCGCGCCACATCAACGCGCGTGACACATGCGTCGGGTTTCACTCGCATTCATGAGAGGCAAGTCGAATGATAAGCAGATTGCCCAGTCATGTACCTCTCCGTCAATTTAAGAATGTCACAAAATAGCACATTACATTGTATTGTTCACAATAAACCCTTTTAGTCTCGACACACCTCAATGTTGAAGTAAGTACAGATCTCCTTGTCATTGTTAACGCCTGCGGTGTCATCCTACGTTTCCTATTGGGGAAATCAGTCTCGTCCAGGATAGGTCAAACAACTCCCTCCTCTCCTTCTTAAGCAACCGGATGTGAGGCCTTGGCCGTTTGCCGTGCATGCATCAGTGAGTGAGTGTGTCAAATCATAAAAAGACATATCACATAAAGATGCCTAAGAAACGCAAAATAAAAGGACAAAATGGGTGAGTTTGTCGTTAACTAACAACACAAATACAAACTATGCTGGTGATGGTGACAGTGGTAGTGGTGGTGGTGGTGGTGGTGGTGGTGGTGGTGGTGGTGGTGGTGGTGGTGGGGGTGAATGAATGGTGGCCTTTGCCGAGATTGTGTCAGTATAGGCTACAATTCCATTCCGCTGTTCAATAGGCAGCCTATAAAAACAGGAATCAATATCTCTGGTCAAATAGCAGCACCAATAGCTCTTCTCCCTTCCTCCTTCCAGGTTTCAGGAACCTGGTCTATCAGTTAGCCTTCAAATATCTGTATCCCTCATGTCAAGTCGTAGCCTCTACAGGTTAAGCTTTCATTTATTTGAGTGCAGGAGCCCATAGGCATGATCATCAGTAGCCATTAGTTATTTAGTTATCAGTAGTACTACTACTACTGCTACTATAGTCAGCTTTTCTTCTCCCTGGGATAGTCTGGGCAAGGATCTTTCTTTATATAATAAAGAAAAGTAGTAGTGCAGACACCAACCCCCACCCCCCGTCCTCCACATGGCTATGAACTATGGACACTATTCCCTTGAACCAAGCAGTGTGTACCCAATGGAAGATTTTTTGTGTCATCAGATTTTGACTTTCTTTTAGCTTGAATTCTTCAGTTTGAAATTTTTAACCCTGAAAAAGCTAGTTTGAATATTGTTATCTTTGCATTTCAGTCACTAAAAATTCAGTTTACAAATTTCAATGTGATTAAAATTCAAAATGACATATTCACCCTCAAAATATTCTTTGAGGGTGAATGATGAATGAAAAAAAAAAAGACTGATTATTTGTTCCATCAGAAATTGAATTTTAAATTGACCTGAATTCATCTATTTGAATGTTTTTAAATTCTTGAATATTTTATGTGAATTTCAGTCACTGATTATCAATTTCATAATGTTAAATGCAACAGTCAAAATTCAACGAGAAAAAATTCAATGGTGAAAAATGTACATGACACATCCGGTGTTCTGACGAGTTTTTTAATGACATTCAAATTTGTAAACGGAATTTTTAGTGACTGAAAAGTAAAGATAAAAATATTCAAACTTGCTTTTTCAGGGTTAGAAATTTCAAACGGAAAAATTCAAGCTAAAAGAAATTCAAAATCGGACGACACATCAAATCTTCCATAGTACCCCCACTCCCTGACCGTGGGTGGCGGATGGTGACAAACGGGGCTCTGGCTGTAAAGGTGCTGGCGTCTTGTGCAGTACCTCAGCCTGAAAATGCTACTTCATTGAGGGCTAACACTCCTACTAGGGATAATGGGCTGCATAAAAGCTGCAAAATGCTGCTTGTTTCAAAATAATCAGTTTCATTATTATGGAAATAAAAACAACTCTCTGAAACGATGTTGCAATTTGACGTTGGTAAATACAATGATACATGTGCATGGTCAAGATGAGAGAGGAGGAGGTAGTCAACATTCCTTAACCAGCCCTAATATGCGCACCAGAGCACACTTCTACCGCTCACGTCAAGTGTCAGGTTGGATATTTAACAAAATAAAATAAAAACGGCATCGCACACTCTTTTAGGAAAATACAAAAAAAATTTCCTCAACATCTGCACCTCGGTTACCACTTTGGGTGTGTGTGTGCGTTACTCCTCTCTCCCACGGGATATTTCAAACAAACCGGATTATATGTCCATTTCAGAATATATTTAAACTTGCAATGTACTCGCAATATCATAGGATATGGAAAGAAAAAGATCCCTGCGCGCCTGCCCTTTAGTGAGATAAGCTGCGAGTAACATGTTCCTTTAAGCACTATCCCAAGCCCGTAGGAGACCTATAGTTTCAATTTAGCAGGTTAGGCACAACTCCATCAGTGACGTGTACAGAGGGATTCAGGAATTTGTGGTTCGATTCTGGACTGATCATGTCTTATTTTTATTCATCTGCCCTTTCACAAGTAATAATAGTATATTTAGGTTGCTTCTTATTGTAGGCTAGAGGATTTGAAAATGGCAACATACTAATAGGCTAATTATTATTTGGATTTTAAGCTGAATGTTTCATTCATGTTGGGAATAGATATATTGACTATATAAGTTAAAGCAGTTCAATTTAGGCCATATTTTCATGTGAGACTACCATTATCACATAAGACATTAGGGTTATAGTGCTGCAGATGCAACAAAATGTCGGGGTGCCCCAGAGATGAAAAGGTTGAGAACCACTGGCCTACAGCAGTGGTTCCCAACCTTTTTTGTCTTGCGGAACCCTTGGACCCTTTAGTGGTACTGTGTACCCCCTCCCCCAGAGTTGTTGCGATTTATTTAGAAAGCTATCACTTAAAAGGACCATTTGTACGCATAAAACAATGCTGTCTTCAAAACAAACCTGACAACCAATACATTTTACTGTAAAAAAAAATATAGCTTTTCCTTTCCTAGTAAGGTTCAGAATGATTCACTTAAAAAAGTCCCCCTACTAAGTTCTCGAATACCCCAAGGGGTCCCTGTACCTCTACTTGGGAACTACTGGTCTACAGTTTATCACGAACCCCAAAGTGATTGCTAACGATTCCCTCGCTCCCCTGCGGTTGTTGTTGTTGTCAGAGAAACTGTTGATTTCTATGTTTATTTAATAAACTATTATGGTTTTAGTATAACCGTAACGTTTAAAAAGTAAATGGAAAAAAAGGGCAGCTTCCCGAAAAGGGCTGTTGCCTGGTGTAATGAATTTAGACTACCCCTCATTTCGGGCCACTCCCCGGTAATCTGAAATAAATTTCACAGTAACACCTGGAGACTTGAGCAACAACATGTGCACGTCACTTAACTAAACCAGGCCTACAGATATGCTGGTCCTCTGGCTGATCTGGTGCGTTATGGCTCAGTTACATACAGTACGTGGTCCAGACAAATTAGCCAAAGGAATATTGTTTCAGTATCATTTATCTTATTTTAATTACGTGTCCTTTTGTCTTTCAGAATGTCATTCCGGGAATTCTCTGGGGTAAATAAAACCTATTATGATGTTTTGTACACAGTTCCATGACAAACGCCTAATATGTGTTTCTTTACTTTAGAAAAAAGAAAGACTCATAACTTATGAGCAAATACATACATACATTCACACGGCAGAAAGCCACAACACAATATTCAAACAGACTAAAAACTTCAAATTTTGGAAGGAAATGTGTGTGGTAGCTGGTGTCAAAGCAGACGTGTCGAATCAACGAAGAATGCGTCTGGCTTATATCCGCAACATAAAGGTCAGTGTGTGCGTGTGTGTGCGCGCGCGCACGGTTGTAGTCTACACATTAATGTAATGATCGGTTGTTCACATATCATTGTGTTTGTATTTCAAGCCTATGTATTGCACTCCCGAATGCATCCAGAAGGACATTGATTCTGCCACTAGAGAGGTACATGACTATTCCTATTAAAGGTCTACTCAGCCTTTTTGATACAGCCTGCATCAATTAATATGACCTTGACCTGTACACGTGTACCTGTATTTTGTGTGCTCATGTTTATTTTCATGACTCAAAAATCAGGAGTTTTCCTGTGACATCCAGCCATCTGAACTGCCAGTTTATTGTTCCTATTATCTATTAAAAATAAGATGACAATCAGAATCAGTACTGTTGTCGTCGTCATTGCTTTTAATCTTTTATTCCTTTATATTTATATTATTGTGTTTTGAACAAGAAAACACGTCAATTTCTCTTTACTGTAACTGTTTAACAATAATTCTGATTTATTAGATTTCAAATTCACATTATTGTGGTTGCCATTCTTGTCAATATTTGTAATTTTGTCATGAACAAAATGGTAAAGACATAATCATTAGCGTTTTGTCCCCTTTACAGAATAAACCACAGCCCACAGGGTACCCAGAGAAAGACACTGAGGTGGAACATTCTCCTTCGCCACCACCACCATCACCACACACTGGCAAAGACTCCGATGTAAGAATTGGCCTGTAATCTTGGACTAGTGTTTCATTGGAGCCTATGACCCAACCACTGTTAATTTTGAGCAATTTATTAATTGCATTAATTGTTCAGAACTCATTCAACGTTCATGTTCTGTTTACAGAATGACACAGAACCCATTTATTCCGAGGACTACCTCTCTGAGCAGGACCACAGCAGGGATGAGTGTTCTTCCCCACCACAAACCTGCAGGGATGGTGACTCCAATGTAAACAAGACTGACATTGAAATGATCATTAGCCTATGTTGATTTGGCTGGAACTAGTGTTTTTTGGACCTATGACCCAACCACTGTTAATTTTGAGCAAAGGCAGTCACATTCATTGTTCAGAACTCATTCAACGTTCATGTTCTGTTTACAGAATGACACAGAACCCATTTATTCCGAGGACTACCTCTCTGAGCAGGACCACAGCAGGGATGAGTGTTCTTCCCCACCACACACCTGCAGGGATGGTGACTCCAATGTAAGCAAGACTGACATTGAAATTATCATTAGCCTATGTTGATTTGGCTGGGACCAGTGTTTCATTGGAGCCTAATGGTGCTTTTATTTTTGCAGGAATCTGGCCTATGTAAAATACCCGTGCCACAAGGTCCCATGTTTTTCATGGTGGACAGGAGAGATTGGCTGGCACTTCGAAGTGCACAAAGAATAGACCAGTTCACTGGCCTGGAGTGGACAAACATAATGGCCGACGGAATCCGGAGCCTTTATCCAGTTTGTAGTTTTGCCTTTGAGCGACACAGAGTCAAGGTGCAAGGGTCCAAACGAAATGGCGATCTATTCACGTGCAGTGCCTATTGTCTGTTCAAAATGTGCCCAGTTAAAATCGCAATTTCCATACACTCCGAGGAAGACCTACGAGCCAATTTAACTTTCCACGGGAACTTTGCTTCTCACCAAACCAATCAGCAGAGAAGGAGACCATATAGAGCCAGCCTGCAGCAGCGGCTTGAAGCGGAACTTCAGGTGAAACCACCCAGAGCCCTGCACCTGCAAAGGTTGAGTAATATGTCTCAAATTGTTGTTGACTCTGGTTGCCGGGATACAGCACCTTCGCCGAGCATCCTGAAGAACATCACTTATAAAGAACGGGCAAGAAAACGGGCACATCAGGATGAAATCAAGAGCCTGGAAACAATGATTCAAAATAGGACTGACACGCCGGAGGAGGTCATCCAGTCCGTCAGTATGCTACCATGCGGTGCAAAGCTGTGGTCGCAAAAGAGCATATCGGTATTCCACCAACGGTGCCGGGAGGACATTGTATACATTGACGCCACAGGAGCCATGATAAAACAACGGGAAAAGGCTACATATTACATATATGAGTTGGTGGTGCGGAGCCCACGAAAGGGTGGCTCACCATTCCCTGTGGCAACATTTGTCACATGTTCACACACCACTCCATCCATCACCTCATTTCTTATGGACTTTCAGCTTCACCACATCAAACACTATGGCCATAAAACCACTACACCCCGAATGATCATGTGCGACGGCTCCATTGTCCTCCTCCAATCAATATCTCTTTCTTTTGCAAACACCAATCTCAATGATTTACTGGATGCATATTTCACCATTATCACAGGTCAGGGTTCTGCCAAACATCTCCAATATCCAATTATTCACCGCTGCCTCAGTCACATCATGAAGAACGCAAAATCTCTCTGTAAAAAACAGTAAGAACCTTTAATGAAATTGATATGTGTGATGGGCTGTACAACTTAGATAATCTGGAACCCATTTTGCATTTGTGACTTTCCTAGCAGCCTACGGCGTGGGCAGTGATGTACCTGAACGCGTTCATTGAATGATAGTTCATCAACGCGTTCATATTTTGGGCGAACGTGAACTGAACGCACTGTATTACTGCCTGATGAACGAAACTATAAACGCGTTCATTATGGTGTCTGTGAACGGCATTCCCCATCTCTTTACGTTCCTTTAATAGGGTACCAGATGTCTTAAATCTGTGATTTTTATTGGTCTTAACGCGCTCGTTGTGAGTTTGTCCGGGCGCGCGCCTCTTTTGCACCGCTCTGCTCGAGCCTTTCTTCAGTGTTGTTCCCGATGTGTACTGTCATTAAACAGCAGCAGTTTGCAGAGAAAGTTTAGCCTTGAGTCCCCCACTGTCCGGGACAACGAGTCGAACGGTCAGGATGCTGAAGAGATGCTCCTGCCTGCGCTGTGCCATTAATGACCATACCCGAGTATTTGACGGATCTTCACCAAATTAACACTAAATTATATCACGAGTAGCAGCGCAGCACTGTGGGATCTCTTAACAGTTACATGTGGACAGTTAATGTGCATTATTTCCCCTGAATTACCGGAGATCCCCTCGACTTTGAGGTGCGGGGTGCAGCTGCACTGACGCCGGTGCGCACACTTACGTACGCTTTCACAAAGCGGGATGATTGTTGGAGATATTCACTTTCAGTTGCAAATAAAGCGCGCCATGTATCGATCTTGCGACCCAATCATGATTTCTTGGACGAATACCCGAGAACTCTACTAGTATTGGCCCTTCTATTGATCTATTAACCCCATGACCGTGTGGTCATCTCCACAAGTGTTGGCCACAAGTGGCTTGATTTGAACTAGGCCTAGCATTTTGATATAAAGCTTAGGAATATATTCTCTTTTGTGAAATGACTGTACCACATTACCTAAACCAGCCTATGGCGTCTCACATTCATAAGTAATTCCGGATACCAAACAACTTTCTTTTAAGTGTTTTTCCTCCTTTCTTATAGTGTACCAACGAACTATAAACTGGCAATGCATTCAATTGGCCTTCTTGCATCAGCAACATCCTTACAGGAAATGGATGCCATATTGACAAATATTGTCACAGTCTTCGGGAGCCCAAAATCAGCCCATTATGTCGAGTACCATTTCAAGCAGTTGCAGCACCGTTTGTGCACTTTTGAAGCTGTGGCTGATGACCAAGCTGACAACTTTGAGGTGGGACGGGAGTTTTGTGTCAATTGTATGTGGACGGAGACTGGTAACGTTTTACTTGATTCCTTAGACTGATGTGGGCCCAACATCATTCTCTAAACATTTTAAAGCGACAATTGATTGTGCGCCCTTGGACGATATCGGCAATGTAAACGCATATTATGCACCGGACCTGATCACGTCATTGGAGCTCTACTGGTTGCCCCAGGCACCCCTTTGGTCAGGAATGCTGTTGGGTGAGTAATTTGCCAATTTTGGAACATTCATCTATTTAACATTGTATGTTAGAATGGATGACTCACAAAAACATCCATCCCTTCAGGTGATCTTGGAAGGCATGGTGATGGTCCAGCGTATCATTCCTTTTCAATGCAATATTTGAAACTGTCAAAGTTGGACAGACAGGTGTCATATCATTGTTTTCTACTGAATATTGGCCTTTAAAGGGGCATTAAGTACCTTTCTGTAAAAGACTTGCCATTTGTGCGAATGTGAGCTTTGAGTGGTCAGCGTCAGAGAGGTCGCTGTGATTTTTAGTTCCATGCTGCTCCACTGGGCCACCATATCATTTACGCACAAATAGCAAGATTGTTTTACACCAAAACAGTCCTTATTGTACCCTTTAAACACCAAATTAGGCATGCAGCCACCACAATACATGTCCTGTTTTTTCGTAGAACATCACACAAGACAACAAAACACAGGGGATCATGGAAAAGAGCCAATGGGACCTTAAACACATAAGATTCATGAGACGCCTGTCACGCCTTGATGATTTCATAATTGAGTACCAAACACTCCATCAGGGCCTACTCCGTGAATATGCTGACACCGAGCGTCTTACCAAAAGAAAGGCAAGACATGATTACATCATTATTATAGCCCATGAGGCATATGTTGATATTTTTACGAATGTTAAACTGCCACATATTTTTAAAGGCCCACCAGATTGACACAGAAAAATGGAGGTCATCGAAAAAGAAACTCAAAGCGGGTATCTATGTGGCTGCCATTTCCAAGCCCTTTGACTACAATAACAAAGTTGAGGTAAGTATTTCAAGTACATGATCACATTCACATCATCTTCAAGTAGCCTGTGGTGGGGGAGTGCCACACAGGACTGTGTCCACATGTGAGGGCGTGGGTGTCATTATTATTTTTTGGGAATGAAGAATGAAAGAGTTTTCATTCTTTATTCTCATGTACCATTGAACTCTTGCACGCTACTCAACCGACCCAGGATGTGCGTGTCTGTCTAACCCTGTTGAATTATTATTTCTTGGCACATGTTAATATTAGTGGTGGGCCGTTATTGGCGTTAACGTGCTGCGTTAACGCGAGACTCTTATCGGGCGTTGAAAGACATATCGCCGTTTATCTATTCTAAACGGTTGGGTTGGGAGTAGAGACCTGCGCAGGACTGGATTTCATCCCGTTCCCGCCCGCTCCCGAGTCTCACGCAGGAGTGTCATCCCCTGGCCGCCCGGGGGAGTCTCTCGGGTCCCGACAAGTCCAGAGTTTCTAAAGGCCTGCGCCGAGCGCGCAAGTGCCAACACTGGAGCGCGCTGCGTAACGGCACTTCAAAGGCTTTCCTCACACCGTGCAGCGCTTTAAACACACGATTTATCCATTTATCTAACATAGAAGACAACACGTAGGTCAGAGTTCTAAGAGAGAAGGCAAACGTGAGATCTGACGATGGTTTCTATTTTTCCGCTGTTTCTCTCGTAAGTCCCATGAAGTTTGGAGCAGTCGGCCCTGTCTGTCACAGGCCATAGCGTTGTCTGTGTCACTGCAGAAGGGTAAAGAACCGGTGTTTTCCTCTGCGACGCCAATCACCTCATTGTAGAACTGTAATTAAGCTGCGTTTCAAAGGGTCTCGGTGCGTCGGCTTTAATGGTTTATCCAAAGCGCAGCGCATGCACTGAGGGATGTTTTGAATTGACCTGCGCCAGGAGATAACAGTGGGTTTGAGTGTAGGTCAGCTGTAAGCGGTTGGTCAGTGCGGGGCAAAAGGTGCACACAGCCTGTGGATGGAGTCTGCATCATCCCGGTGTTCACTGGTGCTGATGCATGCCCAAAAGGCTGCGCTCGTGTCCACGTGCGTCTAACACGCTGTTGTCTCGTCTTGTCTTGCTGTAAATACTTGGAGATTCCTGCCACAACCGTTCCATGCGAGAGACTGTTTTTTTTTTCTTTAGCAGGCCAAATTGATGTGAACAATTAGTAATGCACACACACAATAATGCATCACATTAACATACCAAAACTATCGACTGGCCAAGTTTGCTTCTTTGAGTTTGTTTCATGATTATTCTATTCACTGTTACGTACAGGAAGCATCTGACATGCCGCTGGACCTCCGCATGCCACAAAAGAGTGACAACGAACCACAGGTGACTTTCTGTTTCATAGTAATGAGCAAATAATAAAACGGTAAGTAATTATTAAAAACGGCTTTCGAAAATGGAAGCAGCATCCCTGAAAAGATTGTCATTTGTTTCATTATGAGGCTGTCTTGTTCTTAAAGAGTAGGCTAATTTGTTGTTTCATTCAGATGGACACAACACACACGGCATCCGGACAGGAAGGTGATGATGTCCCACAGGTGATATATGGCCCATTTGTTGTTTTTTGAATTTGTTTTCTCAAACTCTATTTTGCAACCTGGATTGAACGCTTTAAATCAAGCAATATTGTTGGTAGTTAACTTGTTAAATTTAATTGTTTATAGGTTGCGCTTCATGGCAAGGAGGAGAACTTCGATTCTGAAGTGCGGGTGGTCTGTCTGTCTGTCTGTCTAAGTGCTATCAATCTCATGACATGCATATAGGTTGCAGGTGGCACATGGGATCTCCCTGAATCCGAGGGCAATGATGATGATACGGATGTTGAGGCTCAGGTGATTTAATGCTTCATTGTGCTATTGGATCAATATATAATATCTGATGAACATGTATGTATAATTGCATGCATAAACTGTCTACAGCTCAGTGCACTGTGGCAACACCAGGACACAGAAGTGGTCCTGGCACTAATCCATGGAATGAAAAAGAAGGATGTACTTGTGGTCCGTCACAGGGACATCCGGACTTTGAGACCACACGAGTGGCTTGTTGGGGAGGTATATGTTGGACACTTATACAGACACTATCAATATGAGCTAATGCAGCATTTAACTATGTCTATTTTCTTTGTAGATTATTGACTGCATGCTGTGTATATTGGCAAAGCACAAGCCAGTGTACATTATGAGCCATTTCACTGCTGGGGTGATGCTATTTGGAGAAAGGGACCAAATTGGACGAAACTGCCTTGGCAGGGTGTGTCTGGATGCGATACTGATTTCAAATTATGTAGCATGGAATATTTCTCATGTGCACATCAAATTATTGCTTACAGATTTCAAGTCCACACCTCAAATTGGACGTGACTGAACACATGTCTGTTTTTGTTTGAATGAGGGCTTATTTATGTGTTGCAGGTGAATTTCGATGCGTATGACACAATCTTGGGCAGTTTCAATCATGGTGGTCACTGGAAGCTCTTGGTAGGCCTACATGATTTACTGTATGTCTGTCATGTGAATATGGCTTGGTGAATTAATCATCTTGTCTTTGCAGTACATCAATGCACCAATGTCACGCATTTATATTTTGGACCCGCTGAACAGGAATGAACAAAGGGAATCAGACAATGCTGTGAAACGATTCCGGTAAGGGCCATGAATGTCAGCTATATCAGAGCCCTATTCGCACGGGATTAGTTTTACCTCGGGACCACATGCGATTTGTAGTAATCACGTAGAATGTCTGTGCTGTTAATCCCGTGAGAATGCGCCATGTCAGTGATTTGCCAATTATACATTCCCCCGCGAATATACCTACTATATTTTATTGAACTCCGAGGTCCTATGATAACGCTAATCCAATGCGAACAGGCATGTCTGTGATTTGGACAGAAATGGGCAGGATCCAACACGTGTTTGGGCTTTTTTTGTTTACTGTGCGCCTTTTTATTTACTTTTGATGACGAATGGAGGCTGCATTGGAGCGTTTAAATCAGTGGTGTCGTCATTGTGACGTACAGCGTCGTAATAAAACGCCCTGAGCTGTTTTTATCTGTCATTGATTCACCTCATTACATTCATTTTTGATGAGATTTATGCCAGTTATTGGAATTAGGAATACTCTGAGATTGCAGAATGAATTGAGCTAAAATACACATACTTTCAGCACACAATCATAGAACCAGAATTTTGCAACTCATGCGTAAGAGTCTATAAAGGAGGACGAGTTATTTAGAGCATCCTCTGCTCGTCAATATTGAGCCTCAGATTTCAATATGGGCAATGATAGAGCTTATTATTTGCATTTCCTCCTTTTCAACTTCATGTTTAAGGGGTGAGCGGGGCGATATTCAGCTCTTCCAGCGTGCGTCACTGATGCTCATTGGGAGCAAATTTGGCCCAGGCTGCACTTTGAGCAACCTTGATGGCGAACTAGTTTAAAATGCATGCCACATAGGCTTTATGCTCGGGTCTCAGGAGTTTGATATTTGAAATGTATTAATATTATGACAACTACAATAAAAATTCTGCAACCTTAATGGCGCATGCCATAAAGTGAAGTTAAAGACCTTATGACGGGTTTAAAAAAAAAGAAATAGTGGATATCAAAATTGCATGACAATGTCAATTTGAAAGAGATTCCGGCAAAAACAATCCTATATTTTATAAAAAGAACGTGTTTTTCATGAATTTAAGTTGTCTATGCTCTAACCTGTGTGTGACGTCATAGCGGGTAACGCCCATGCATTGAAAACCATGGATCTATGCCACAGGACTGCCTTTTCTCTCTTCTCTCCACTGATGCCCAACACAATACTGCACTCTACAGGTGACAATTGCTCACTACACATAAATTGCCGTTTTGAGAAAAAGTGCCCAAGGTGAGATTTGAACCCAAGTATCTGGATTGACAGTCCATCGACACAACCACTGGACTATCTCAGTGACAATGAAATGTTACATTCTAGTAGTTATCTGAGACTCGCTGTACACGGCCTTGTCATCTTGAATATCCGCGAAAAAAGAACGTATACCAAATTGTAAACAACTTACAGCGTTGAAACGTACCTACTCTGACGTCACCAAGGGCTGTGAAGTTTTTTCGTCTCTAAGGGCGTTGCTATGGGGTTATTTCGATTTGGGGGGGATCAGACAAAAAAAACAACTGATTTTGAAACCTTTAGTAGTTCTCTTCTAATATAAAATGGTATTAAAACTGTATTTCTAAATAAATCAAACCCGTCATAAGGTCTTTAAATAAAGTGTGTCTAAGTAAGAACAAGAGCGTGTTTTTGTTGTTTCACACGGCCCCATTTTCCTTCGGTCCCTCCTTGGATCTACAACAGACTCCCACAGAGACAGATGTAAGTACAAGACTTTAATCTCTTTATTGTCCACTAACAGACTGTGGCTTTGAGTCACGTGGGCCTCGGGGATTCCAGCTTTAACTTTGTTTGTGCCAAGATCTGAGTGATCCTGTGTCGGGGCTAATGCTAATGCTAATGCTAATGCTAATGCTAGTCGTTAGCCTGTCCTTTGTCCTCTCCACTTACTGTTTTCTCTCAGCTGTAGACTTAGTTCAACATTCATTCATGTGATTTGTAAATAACGTGTATGTTGGACTTTTCTTCACTCACTTTAAAACAAGTCAATACAATAGAAAGGTCCAGGATCACGTGCTCTCACAGGTTCAATCCTTCTCGATCATTGTTATTTAGCCTCAAATGAAGCTGTTCATCAATATCTTTAGGGTTTCCTTCAAATGTAAGGTGCATTTTACCTTACATTTCAAGAGGACCATGTTACAGGCTGTGCTCTCTGCTCTGTGTTCTCTGCTCTGTGCTCTCTGCTCTGTGCTCTCTGCTCTGTGCTCTCTGCTCTGTGCTCTCTGCTCTGTGCTCTCTGCTCTGTGCTCTCTGCTCTGTGTTCTCTGCTCTGTGCTCTCTGCTCTGTGCTCTCTGCTCTGTGCTCTCTGCTCTGTGCTCTCTGCTCTGTGCTCTCTGCTCTGTGCTCTCTGCTCTGTGTTCTCTGCTCTGTGTTCTCTGCTCTGTGTTCTCTGCTCTGTGTTCTCTGCTCTGTGTTCTCTGCTCTGTGTTCTCTGCTCTGTGTTCTCTGCTCTCTGCTCTGTGCTCTGTGCTCTGTGCTCTCTGCTCTGTGTTCTCTGCTCTGTGCTCTCTGCTCTCTGCTCTGTGCTCTCTGCTCTGTGTTCTCTGCTCTGTGCTCTCTGCTCTGTGTCTCTCTGCTCTGTGCTCTCTGCTCTGTGCTCTCTGCTCTGTGCTCTCTGCTCTGTGCTCTCTGCTCTGTGTTCTCTGCTCTGTCTCCAGTGAACCCTCCTCAGATCCAGATGAGTCACATCTCATCGTGGCTGAAGTTTGTGTCTGGCTTAGGTCTCACTCTCTCTCCCCCTCTCCTTCCTTCTCTCGTCCCATCCTCTCTCTCTCTTTCCTCATCCACCTCCTCCTCTCTTCTTGAGCTCGACCTGAAGCAGAGTCTGTGGGCTCTGGGTTACAGCATTGCATACTATTTTTCTTATTATTTTGTGAAAATGAACCCACACTTTTTTTTTATTACATTAATATTTACAGAACTTTCTTCCTCCTGTGGATAAGGCCTATTTATCCTTTTGTCAGCTTTTTCAAAATTAGGAAATGTATTTGAAAGCTCTGGCTTTCAGTACAAATACATGTGTTTTGGGCTGAAGAAACTTTCGTATTTATACAGTGCCTTGCGAAAGTATTCGGCCCCCTTGAACCTTTCAACATTTCGCCATATTTCAGGCTTCAAACATAAAGATATAAAATTTTAATTTTTTGTCATGAATCAACAAGTGGGACACAATCGTGAAGTGGAATGAAATTTGTTGGATAATTTAAACTTTTTTAACAAATAAAAAACTGAAAAGTGGGGCGTGCAATAAGTAAGTAAGTAGTAGTAATCTTTATTTATATACCGCCTTTTCACTGCACATCGGAGTCTCAAAGCGGTTTACAATTGTGATTTTTGGGAGGAGGGGTGCCAGTACAGGAGGCACATGCCAGACCTATTGCACATATTTTTAGTGGTAGGGGAAACCGGAGCACCCGGAGGAAACCTACGCAGACACGGGGAGAACATGCAAACTCCACTCAGAAAGGCCCTGGTCCAACCGGGATTCGAACCCAGGACCTTCTTGCTGAGAGGCGAGAGTGCTATCCACTCAGCCACTGTGCCGCCCAATATTATTCAGCCCCTTTACTTTCAGTGCAGCAAACTCAGTCCAGAAGTTCAGTGAGGATCTTTGAATGATCCAATGTTGTCCT